CCTGTTGATTTTAACAGCATTTGGATTCAAAGGACTGATGTGGAAGCAACTCTGTATGGTTCTCTAAATACTGCAGTGACTGAATTGGCGAGATGTCGGTCTGATCCCTGGAAAGGCAGTATTTGTCTAATGGCTTGAGAGTAGAAGTTGCATTTGCTCTTGGGTGGGTTAATCTGTTTTGTCTTGAAGGTGGCTTGCATGGCAACCATAAAATTCAGCCTTTCCTACATGTTCAACCTATAGTAGGCCAAACTTTCTGTTATGCTGTTGAAAAAAATATTTAGTGTATAGTGTTCACCAATACAATGTATGTGTGTGTGCGCGTGTGTATTTTATTTTCTTCCTTTAAAACAATGTTACACAAACTGTGATTTTGTACATGTAAAGACAGAAGAAACTACATGGAAAGGGCATGGAGAAGATGAAATGTGTGAAGCTGTGCTCAGTCCAAAATTCTTTCAAATGCAGATACCTAAGTTCTCACAGTGGTATTGGCCTGTGTAACGCTAAGGGGAATGGGCAAATTAAAGAGGACAAAAAAGACAAAACAAGCAGGTGCCATTTAGATGGCTCAGGAATTTAGGAGAGGGAATCCTCTGCCCCCCAAACCCTGCAGACGATTTCAGAAGTCTTAGATTCACGTAGATGGAATATAGCTCTCAAATCTGGCTGGTTAGAAAATCTGCTTTTAAAAAAAGAGATAAGGGAAGAAAAATTTTATTCTGAAAGAATATCTAAGAAAAACAATTTGCTTTCTGTGTTTTTAATTGGCATCGTCATTTGTGGAATTGTATTTCTTATTTTCCTTTGGAGAGTTCTGTAAGTGAAATATTGTTAGATCAGCTTTCCCCAGTGCTGTGCTGGTGATCAAGTTAACCTCTATGAAAACTGGACTCTTGAAATACTCATTTAAAATGGCTGCATTACTTAATGATATTTTAATGCATTAGAAAGAAGGCAAAAGAATATCACAGTGTTAGTGTCAAGAAGACACTCTGCAGTCTAATGCTGATGCTGAGACCTTTCCTATACCTCTCCTTTACTCCTGTTCGCGTTTTGTTTTTTAGTTTAAACAAGCAGATGACAAGGCTGTTTCAGAGTGCATATGACACTTGTTAAAACAAGTTGGTCTGACCCTCCAAGACTCTGAAGTCCCACAAAGGTACTTTAAACTTTACTTGAATACTGATGCAGCTGGCAAGTACGTCGGGCTATTATACTTTTTATGGCTTCTACCCCTTCCCCGATCTTTTTGCCTTGAAGGGATTTTTAACAGTGAGGTTACTGCTTGCTGTAAAGAGGCAGGATCACTCTCTGAAATAATCTTCCTAACTGTTAGGAGTTGGCTTTTGTCGAAGATGCGCAGAATACTGACACACACCACTGAAAATCACACCTTTTTCAATCTGTTTTGATTATTTGTAGGACAACAGAAAAAACATTGTAGGGCAAAAGTGAGCTTTTTTTTTTTTTTTTTTTTTCTAGTTCAGAGGGCAGGATCAGCTTTTGATCAGAAACTATATTCTTGTAAATGCAAGAATTGGTGGAGTTCCTCCTGCTTGGGAGATGATCTGTGCTAGTTATTCACAGCAATGTAACAGACATCAAAATCTGTCCTATATATCCAAATCCCTTCCCTGCACTCCCTTTTTCTTTTGTTAATATGCAGGAATTTATATTTTACATCACTGTTACAAAACCCAATAGTATTTAGGAGTAACTGCTCACAATGCAGAAGGACTGGATTCCGCAAGTTATAGTACGGTGAGCTGTTGCTTTAGAATACTGCCTTGTTTGATTTTTTTTTCTTTTGTCTTTATTATTACTCTTTCTTTTCCAAAATATCTATTTTTATGCAATTGTGACTCCCATTACTCCTTTAAAGAATGTTCATAGAAAAAGATACATTTAAATATACATAGAAATATATATATTAAAAAGCGGGTTGATCCAGTTAACATAATGCTGTCAGCTTAAAATGTTTATTTTTATGCAAAACCTGTGGATTATTATTTTTTTTTAATGACAAGATTCTAAGTAACAGAGCTGTGATTTGTCTTGCAAGTAATTGTTTTAGAGCATTTAGAAAGCTGTGGTGATATCTAATTTATTGTGGGGTTTTTGCTGTTTTTGTTGTTGTTGTCTTCTGCTGTGTTTGAACCAGATGACTGTCCCAACAAAAATCCTTGTAAAGCCTTTTCATTTTATTGAGCTTGCAAAACAACTATCCAGTACTGTACTGTCCCTGCAGAAGTGGTAACACACTGCAAAAAAGGGATGTTGTTTTCGGGTCACGTGAGGGATGCTCAAATATTGCTAGTGGGGAGGATGTTGTGTCTCTCCCCATTTGCTTCCTCCCAACCCAAAAATCCCAACCCCCCCAACCCTTTGCTTAGAGCAGGTGGGGTGGGTTACCTGGATCTTGCATTGCTCACAAATAAGTGGTGTCAGCACATCTCAGTCAAATGCAGGATTGGACCCACAGTTTATAAAATGCCTTATATGAGAGTAGGATGGCATAGCAGGAAGCTCGTAGATGGCAATGTTTTTTGGAGCCAGGAGATCTCTTATCTCTTGAGTCACATTCAGCCCGTTGTAAACAGTCACACCTCCTCCCATTTTCAGTATTTTTACATCTGCTAAATACTTTGATTCTGGATGGTATTACCTGGTGAAATGAACTTCCCATTTTCTTTGGCCTAGGACTGATTCAAATAGAAATAGGAACAGTAAACTCCCGAGTAGGCTGTGCCCACAGTGGTTTTTCAGTTTGCGGGCGTAACTGAAAAATCTGGGGAAAAGTGTTGTAAGGGTGACCTGAGACAATTTTTTTTTTTCATTTTCTCAGTGAAATGTAAAAGGGAAAAATAGAAACATGAAAAAAAATCCTTTTAAAAAATGGAGCATTTCATTGTAGGTTTGCTTTTTCACTTTTTTAAAAACATTATGACTTGGGCTATAACAAGTTGCTTTGAAAAAAAAAATGTGAAACTTCCTGTTTTGAACATGCTGAAAGAAAATGTTTTATTGTTAATAGTCTTTTTTGCCTTTGCCTTTTTTTCTTAATCTAGTGACTGGTTTCAGTTAACCCTAAACTGCATTTTTTGGTGATTACATTATCCACTGAAGAGAACCCAAAGAAGGCTATTGCCCAGTTCTGCTCTACTGACAGGTACACATTCTAGGGATTACCTGGTATCTGGCCCAGCGAAGCTGCTGTTTCCCCATCTGATAATCTTCCACTTGATTGTTTTACTAGGTGAACAATAAAAGCATCTCTCACCCCATGTCATTGACTGATTTTGTAGCCTTAGAAAGACATTCTTGCTCTGTCGGTCTCAGTTTGGTCACAGATTTATGACTAGAGATTTATGATGCTAGTCCAATTTGAGCCTAATCCCATTGTGCAGTGCGAATTCTCATTTGCCCAACTGATAAGAAAAAAATAAGGTATTACTTTTTCTCCCTTTTTCTATCATAGCAATGTCAGTAATATATCTTTATTAGACAGAATTAGGGAAAGGTCCCAGGGTAAAGATGAATGCATTGTTCCAGGCAGACACTTGCATACTCTGCTCTGCTTTCCATGGGCATTCCTCAACTGTCTGCTTTTACCACCTTAATGTTTCTTGTCTGTGAAGGTTGTGCAGTAAAAGCGCTTGTGCAGGCTTCATTCCAGCTGCTCACTTTGTGATCTTTTTGCTACAGTCCTCGAAGCCTTGTTCACAGTTGCAGAACCTTTTCCTGTCCTGCTATGCAAAGACCATGGCCAAAGCAAACACCTCTAGGTCAAAGGGGTCTCTTTTATCACCTGGAGCAGGTGTGAGGGCTCCGTATTCTGCCTGGAATCAGGATGTCAGCTCAGTTAAGTTTTGCAACAGCCTCTTGAAGGGAAGAGGCCCAAGGCTAAGGCGATGCTTGGGGAGGACAGAGCGATGGTACGTGATCTGTTTCATTCTGGGTTGATGTGCTGACTGCCTCAACTCTTCGTTCCAGGAGGGTCCAGAACTTCTTTGTGTAGGGCTGAGAACAATATGTGCATAGTCATTACAATGACAGGTGTCTCTGTCCTGCAAAGAACATCCAGTTCAGAGTTCCTTCTTTCCTGCTCTGCGCCAGACAGATTAAATGCTCTCTGCCACTGTTGTAAATGTTTTGGATGCTGTGCAGTCCATACTCCAAAATAGCGAGTGTCCTTTGCTGGAGGATGCAGAGGTGTCTCTCTCAGCCCTTTTTAGGAAGAGCTACTGATCTTCCACAGACAAGGCCTGTGTGCTTCCAATGCAGTAGCCTCTGATTTCAGTAGCCTCTGTGTCTTTCAGCATCTGGCCACACTCTCCAGCTCCTGCTTCCCAGCTTCTTCTCCCATGCTCTTTGAGAAAGATGGTAGCATAAGGCGTGTCCCACCAGCCTAAAGTGCCAAGCTAGAGGATGAACAAACATGTCCATCAGCAAATACTATGCAGTGCAGCTTGATAATACTGGTATCAGGAAAACAAGCAACAGCTTTTCTTCTCTGGCCAAAGGGAAGCTATTCCTTGCCACCCAGGTACCATCACACCTGTCACGGGTGCAGACACCTCTCTGCTTGCATGCTCTGGTTTAGACATTTCTGAGTACCCAGCTCCTGATGGAAAGGGGGGTCCTGTGTGGTGCCCAGAGCTGGACTGCCACCAGCCCTTGCAAAGCTTGGGTTCTGCAGCTGATGCACGGGGGCTAAGAATTAGAAGGTAATTTCAGAAATTTTGTTTATGAAACTAAAAGGAGAAACTACAACTGTGAAGACTGG